TTCATTGTCTCTCTTCTCTTCCATCTCTGTTAGCTTTGCCATTATGAATGTTCTGAATTCTTTCTCAGACATTTCCATGATTTCCATTGAACTGTGTGTGGATAAAGAGGAGCTATCCTTTTCCCTTGTGGGAGAGGTATTTTCCTGCTTCCCCATATTTCTTGTGGTCCTGCAGCGATTTCTAGTCATCTGGTGGATGGTCAGTTTCTTCAAAACTTGGGAGTTCAATCTGAGCATTGAGGAGCACGCGAGTTTTGGGTGCTGGAGGCCGGATTATCAGTAGGAAGTCTTGATTTCTGTTTTCCCAAAATGGCTATTTTGCAGAATCCATGAGGCTCTGTCTTCAAGAAAGCCTGTTCCCTTAAAAAAATTAATATTTTAAAAAATTTCAGTAAAAAATCAAAAATTGGAAAACTGTGTGAAATTCTAAAAAGCAAAAATTAAAAAAAAAAAAGAGAGGAGACAGAGACTGAGACAGAGGTAGAAAGAGACAAAGACAGGTACAGAGACAGGAGGCCTGGAAGGGGTCTTCCTACCACGCAAGTTTTGGGTGCTGGAGGCTGGATTATCAGTGGGAAGTCTTGATTTCTGTCTTCCCAAAATGGCTATTTTGCAGAATCCATGAGGCTGTGTCTTCAAGAAAGCCTGTTCCCTTTGCCTCCCTAAATTATTTTCTTACAGAGACTTCTTTCACTGTCAGAGATCTTGAATAGCCTCCTGGTCAGTGACCCGGAAGCAGTTCTTCACGTAATTGATCAAATTGGCTTCCACTTTGGGAAGAGAACCACTTTTTCTCTATGTGCTTGCATTTTTGCTTCAATGTCTTCTATGGTACTAGGTCTTTTTGGTGTTTTAGGAGTTTTTCCCCTTGTTTTTTTGAACAATTCTTGACCTTTCGATTTTAGTGTTGATGGTTTTGAGTCTTTCATTCTGGTTTGATTTTTTTTTTTTTTTTTGAGAGGTTTTTGCTATAGGGTGTGTGCGCTCGCCAGACAGACAGAGATAGCTAGAGAGACAGAAAGCAAGAAATCACTCCCCGGGGGGATGGTCACGCCGCAATCCCTTCTTCTCCATTCCTCTCTCGGGATCTTGGGCACGCACGCACACGCGCCACCGGGTCCGGGACACGAACCACCATGGGTCTGGTACGTGAACCGTGGTCGACTACGTGGGAGTCCAGCGACATAGCCATTACGCTAACTGCTGGTTCCCTAGATTTCTTCACTGGAGCTTTTTCTTGTTTCCTCATCTTCACAATCGTCATCGTCGTCTTCACCATCTTCATCGTTGTCATCATCTTCATTAACTCCGTCGGCTGCACGTTTTCCTTTTTCCTGTGGAACCGAGTTACCCCCTCCAGGAGCAGATTTTCCGGGCATACTTAAGAGTTTCCTGTCCTCTTCCTCTTCCAACTCCGCATCTTCCTCCACAGCTACTACGTGCTGTCCACTGATGTGCACAGGCCCTGAACCACACTTCAACCTTCAGACCACGCTGGGGCCAGCAGGTGGCGTGGTGGTTAAGGGCTCTTGGACTTCTACATGGCTGATTGTAGTTCGAGACCTGGACCTGGCAGCCTGCTTTCTCACTTTCTCTTTCTCTCTCTCTGGTCAAATTAAAAAAATAATAACAAATAAAATAAATAATTCTTTAAAAAAAAAAATAAGACCACAGGCGGTGTTATTTCAAAGCCCCCAAGGGAAACCGTGGGCTGTGCTGACACGTTCAGTGTTGCCAGTGTGACCTTCATCAGACTGCCAGCATAGTTCATGGCCTCTGCTTCTGCACACGCAGTTCATCCTTCGCACCAGCCCTACACAGACCGTTCTTAAGGGTAACCGGTGTTCGTCTTCATCACTATCCACCTTAAAGTGACCGTCTTTGTCAGCCTTCAGTTCACAGCGAAAAGAAACTTCTGGGGCCTCAGGGGTTCACGTCCATCACATCTTCCATCGGGCGGGGGGCGGGGGTGGCACGCACTTAGGAGGGAGAGAAGGCGGACCGAGGTAAATGACTACGGCTCCCAGAAACAGCCACGCAGGACAGAATCACTCCAGCGGAGTGGGGCTGGTCTGAGGAGGTACCCCGAGACACTTGTGAGGGCTCTGCCCTTTGCGATGGTTGGGCAAAAGAATGATTAGGAACGATAGTAAAATCCTCCCACATCTGTGCCGCGTGAGTCTCTCACAAAGTACTTTTACCCCGTCCACCCTTTTATTATTATAGTTTTTCAACTTGCAATAGTGCTCATGAGAGAGAGAGAGAGAGAGAGAGGAGGAAAGCAAAAAAGCAAGCCACCAAGTCCAGGTCTTGAACCATGGTCAGCCATGTGAGAGTTGAGTGCCTTAACCAGAATGCCACCTGCTTGCCCGGTGTCCTTATCTCCATCTTTGTAACTACTATCCTGGAAGGATCCTCACCGCACTCCAGATACCCAAGGCTCAAAGACAAAGGGTGGCTGGCCCAAGATCCCCCGGGGAAAACGGCAGAGCTCAGATTGGAGCTGGGCCATCCGGGGGCGGGGGAGCTGGCCCGCCAGAGCCTCTGGTTTTGGAAGACCTACACTTGGCCTGGTTCTAGCCCCGGGGAGGAACTCGGTTCAGGCCCTGGGCATCCCTTTCCTGTGAAACCCAGCCCTCATGACTCCCTCTCTGCCATCTGAGTCCTCTTCTCCTGGACCCAGGGGAAGCCCCATCTCATCTACCGACCATAGCTACTCATTTTTCTTTCTTTTTAATTAAAAAAAAAATTTGTCAGAGAGTATATCTAATGATATACTCTGGGGCTATCCAGAGAGAGAGAGAGAAAGAAAGAGTGAGGGAGAGGGAGAAAGCAATCTCAGAGGGGTGTGGTCACAGCGCAATTCCTTCTCCTCCATTTTTCCATCCTGTTGGAATCTGGGGCATGCATGCATATGTGCCTGGTATGTTTGTCAAGCTACCAGGGCTTGGAACTGTGGTTGGCCTGTGGGATTCGGCTCCTAATGCATAGTGCTTAGCCACTGTGCCATGGGGTAGGGTGGGGGCTCAGTCCCAAATCACAGCTGTCCCTACTTTATTCGTAGCCAGGTGGGCACCGTGATTCGAGGACAAGACAAGGCTTCTCCCCCGGCACTCCCAGGGCTTCCCTTCCAGCTGGGAAGAGGAGAGGTGCTTACTTTGGTGACTTATTAAGATACTCAGCCCTTTGTCCTCCCCAGACAAATTCATGGCCCCCACCTGACCCATTCACCAACTGGAACAGGTTTCTGCGCTATGTGGGCTGGGACAGGTGACTCCAATGAAAAAATAAATGCTAATATTTTCATCTGCGAAGCAATCTGACCTCTTCCTTGTTACTCACAGAGATGCCTATTGATGGTTCTCTAGCGTCCAGGAAGGACGGGCGCATCGAGGATTATACAGAAAGTAGAGAAAGGGAAGCCGGGAAGGAGAGAGGCATGGAGAAGCACTTTATAACTTGTCAAAACATGAACTATAAGCCCCAGTTTTGTTTTTTTAAATAATTACTTTATTTAACTTCGTTTATTTATCTTGTAGAGGCACATGCACTTGTCAGAAAGAGACAGAGAGACAGAACACGAGAAATCACCCCCCGGGGGGGATGGCCACGCCGCAATCCCTTCTCCTCCATTCTCCTCTCGGGATCTTGGGCACGCACGTGCACACACCCGGCATGAGTTTGAGCCACCAGGTCCGGGACTTGAACTGCAGTCTACTACATGAGAGTCCAGCGACATAGCCAGTATGCCTTCTGATGGTCCTTTATTTACTTACTTTAATTTGACCAGAGAGGACTGAGAAAGAGAGAGAAAGTGAGAAAGCAAGCTGCCAGGTCCGGGACTCGAACCATGGTTAACCATGTGGGAGTCCAGCGCCTTAACGACCACGTTGCCTGCTGGCCACAAAGCTCCAGTTTTTAGGGAGGGAAAAAAAACCTTCCCAGATAAAAGACAAGCAGGCAGGGCCAGCAGGTGGTGTAGTGCTTAAGGTGCTAGAATCTCACATGGCCAACCGCGGTTCAAGTCCCAGACCTGGTGGCTTGAATGAAAATCATGCCGGCAGTATGTGTATATATACTCAAAATTCCTAGTGGAGAATGAAGAGACTGTGGCAAGGCCTTCCCCCCCCCCCCAGGTAATTTCTCACTTCCCCTCTCAGTGCCCTATGATAAACAACAACAACAAAAACTCTAAACGAAACAAAAACAAAACAAAACAGAAAAACCAAGCAGGTATGAAGTTGATCACGCAGGATTTATTCAGGGACGTCCCAAGGGGGTTGCACAAGGCCGTGGTAACTAATGACCGACAGATGCCAACTGCTCCAGGGGCCTAGAACAAGGGGGGGTGGGGTGGCTGTGAGCTGGGGCTGTCTGGGCTCCCTGGCGGAGGTGGCCAGAGCTGGGCCTGGAGGAAGGGGAGGATGAGGCTGAAAAGCGACCTAGCCCCAAATCCGAGAGGAGAATGGAGAAGGGACTGTGGGGTGGGCCTCCCTCCGGTTTCTTGCTGTCACTGGAGAAGAGGGACCAGACAGCTGGGGATGGGAGGTCCGAGTGACATCGGTGCCACTTGAATCCACAGCGCTGACCCCTGCGGCTCCTGACAATCGTCACAACCACAGACATCAGGCAGTGACTTGCCATCCCCGCAAGGATGCTTCCCCACGCTCCCTCTCTGTCGCTCTGTCTCTGTCCCTCGTCTCTGTCTCTCTCTGGCGAGCCCACGTGCTCTATAGCAAACATTTTAAAAAGAAGAAAAAAGAAAAGAAGGGGAAGGTCCCCGATCTTTTGGCCACGGAGCTTCGCCGGAGGTAACCCCGGGACAGACGGTCCCGTTGCCACGGCCACCCCGCGCGCCGTCCGTACCCCCGGGCCGGCACGCTCCCGTTGCCAGGGCACCCGCCGGCGCGGTCCGGGCGTGCCGCTGAGGATGCCGGGAAAACGCTGCCCTCCCCAGGATGGCGGCGGCGGCCGGCGAGGGGCGGGGCTGAGCGCGGCCTTCGTTTCCGCCTTCTCACGCCCACGAAGAGCTGCCGCCATCCCCGTTCTCTTTCCCGACTCCGAGAGTCCCGGGAGCTGGGGGAAGGGGTTGCCCGCAGAGATTGGGGCCAGGACCCGGGGTGAGGCGGGACTTCCGCGTCCCGCCGGAAGTGATGCGACAGTCGCGACCGCCGCCAGGTGGAACGGCAGGTGGGTTCAGGTGCCAGCCTGGCCTGGACCCGGCCTGGGACTGACGCTTCCGGTGAGCGACCGAAGCAGCTCCCTAGGGCCCGAAGACCCGAAGGGCGGGCTCTGGGATCGGAGCCCATCGCCCTGGCCTGGAGTCCCCCCCTGTACCTAGTAAGAGCCACCTACCCACTGGACCCCCGGAGACAGCCCCGTCCTGATCCGGAGGGGAGGAGGCGGGCCCTGCTGCCCCGGTCGGGGGTGGGCAGGACCCGGGTGGGGTTGGCAGCTAGGCAGTTCGGTTCCCTAACCGCATCCTATGCTCCTTTCTCTCCCGGATCCAGTTCCCCGTCCCCCTCCCGAGCTGGGCAGTTAGCCAGCCCACCCCGACTCCCGGAACCATGTTTGCAGACTTGGATTATGACATCGAGGAGGACAAACTGTAAGTATCTTGTTTCCCCAAGTCCCAGGAGCACAGGAGCCCCAGGCCCCGCATTTCTCTGGGCTTCCCAGTTCCACACACCTTGGCCTTCTCAGCAGTGGGTCAGGTGTTGTAGTGAAACGGAAAGGGACCTCCCCTTCCAGGACCCATCATCTGCAGGGCCTGAGCCTGGGTTAAGAGATCACCACAGTTCAGGGCCATAGCGCCTGGCAAGTAGGAAAGCAGAGCTACCGGAGCAGTGCTTCTGCTGGGCTGGTCAGGGAAGGCTTCACAGAGGAGGTGATGATTGAGCCAGGTCTTGAGGGAGGAATAGACATGTCATAGACATACTGTCCTCCCCAGAGGTGGTACTTAGTAGGGCGAGTTTTCAAAATTCGATTTGTCTACCCAGTGCGGTGTATCCTCCCTCAGAGGACGGAGTCGGTACAGTGCCTTGCTGTGTCCTCAGCACTGACTAAGGTGCTTTTCACCATTGGGCTGGTAGCAAGTGTTTTTTGAATCAAGAAGTGAATTCATGAGAATTCACCATAAAACATAAATAAGTGCTAGTTACAGTGAAAACAAAGGTAATTCAGTAGAGTAGTTGAGGGATGGGAGATGGCTAGTTTCAGGGGGCAGGACCTCTTGGGGAAGGTGACTATAATGTCCCGTGTACATAGAAGGTGACAAGACGAAGCCGGCCCACATCTCAGAGGGGAAGTGAAGCAAAGGGAAGGGGACACTGTTGTTCTGGCGTACCTGCCGTGGACTGGGCCGGGGCTGGCGCTCTCATGTGCATTCTTTTTTTTTAAAGGGTTTTTGCCATAGGGTGTGTGCACCTGCCAGAGAGAGAGGAGGGGAAGTGATAAATCACCCCCACCCTGGAAGGATGGCTCTGCTGCAGTCCCTTCTCCATTTACCTCCTGGGCTTTTGAGCATGCATGCACATGTGCTCCGCATGATTTTCAAGTCACCAGGTCCAGGACTTGAACTGCACACACGTGTCGGCCATGTGGGAGTCCAGCACCTTAACCATCATGCCACTTGCTGCACCCCCATCTACATTCTCATAAGCCTCTGATAAGGGGGACTTGTTCCCACTTTGTAGATGAGAACATTGAGCCACGGAGAGTCCGCCAGCTGCTAAGAGGCAGAGCTGGAGTTGGACCCCACGTCTGTGGGACTCCTAGAGCCGTGCATGTTCTAGCACAGAGCGCTGTTGTCTGGCCAAGCGAGGAAGAGAAGAGGCCGCATGGCACTTGGAGCCTGGGGTTGGGAGTACTAGTCACCCTCCCTCCAGCATCAGCCTCGCTCGCTTCTCTTTGCAGTGGAATCCCTACCGTGCCCGGGAAGGTGACCCTGCAGAAGGACGCTCAGAACCTGATCGGCATCAGCATTGGAGGAGGGGCCCAGTACTGTCCCTGCCTCTATATTGTCCAGGTATTGGGCACTTGGGAGGTGGGGACAGGGTCCCGGAGGGGTGAGTCACCTCCTCACCCTTGAGGTCCTGAGGCCTTCCTGACCACTGGCTCTAAGCAGGTCTGCCTTTGTTTTCTTCCCATTCCATTCTGTTTTCCTTCTTGTCACTTGTTGTCATCTGAACCTTTGCTTGTTACTTGTTCTATGTCTGGCGGTCTCCCAGTTTCTCTGGGCTGTGAAGGCAGGGTCGCCATTCACTCACTGCATCCGAACCAGGGACAACGCCTGACACGGAGAGGACATTAAATAAAAGCATCTTCTAAAATTTTAAGTAGTTTACAATAGGGTATGTGTGCTGTTTGGAGAAAGAGAGAGATGAGGAAAGTAAGAAATGACTACCCAGGGGGCATGAGCACACCATAATCCCTTCTCCCCTCTCTCAGGATTTTAGCCACACATGCGCAGTATGGTTTTCAAGCTGCCAGGTCTGGGACTTGAACCAAGCAGTAAGGCATGTGGGATCCAGCCGCTTTTACCTCCTTGCCACCTGCTGGCCCCTGAATAAAAATACCTTTAAGAATCAGCAAAGCTGCCAGTCGCGGGCGCCAACCCGAGTGCAGTGTCCTGTGGTGGTAACGTGCTAGTGGCCTCAGCGCAAGCACGGCCTCCCGCTACTAGCACGCTCCTCAGTCTCCAGGCGTCGGCTCCTCACCAGGAAAGCAGGATTTAAAATCACTCGGCGTAAGTGTCTCTGGGTCCCTGTGAAAAGTAAACAGTGACGTCAAGCAATGACTGGCACTTACGGAGCACTTGCCAGGCAGCAGTGCTGTTCTGCCGGGCACGGTGCACCCCCAGATGTTCTGTGACCCTTTAGAAGAGGCCACCCAGGTGTATTCAGTCAGCTGTGACTCGGGAGCGGGGACAGGCCTGTTGCAAGGCTTTCATCCCCGTGTGGCTGTCCAGAGCCGGTGACCTCTCTGTAGCCTGAGAAGGACCGGGTTCTATCCCTCTCGGCGGAGTAGCCTCTGGTGGCAGGTGGGCAACTGCAGTCTATGCAAATCCTGTGAAGCAGTCAGCTCTAGGCCTCGAGGACAGGGATCCCACGGTGTGGTCTGGACTCCGCATGTCCAGCAGGTATTTGGCCTTCTCTGACCCAGAAGGTAGAGAGCCTCCTCAGGCCTGGCCTCCTGCCTTCTATCTGCTCAGCCTCTCTGCCACCTCACCCTCCCCACCCACTGGGGGGTTGGGGCAGACTTGCTTGTATGAACTGCAGTTACAAAATAATAGAAGATTTTTAAATTATTTCATCTTATTTGCTATTATTATTTCTTAATTTGCTATAGGGCATGCATACTCAGAGAGAGAGAGAGTGAAAGCAAGCTACCAGGTCTGGGACTTGAACCACCGTCTGCCATGTGGGAGTCCACCACCTTAACCACCATGCCACCTGCTGGCCCCCAATAGAAAGGTTTTTTAAAATTCGGTTGTTTTCAGGACCAGCAGTTAGTGTCATGGCTATATATCACTGGACTCCCATGTAGTTAACCGAGGTTTGAGTCCCAGACCTGGTGGCTTAAACTCACGCCGGGCGCGTGTGCATGCGTGCCCAAGATCCCGAGAGGAGAATGGAGGAGAAGGGATTGCGGCGTGGCCATCCCCCCTGGGGGGTGATTTCTCGCTTTCTGTCTCTGTCTGTCTGGTGAGCGCATGTGCCCTATAGCAAAAACCTCTCCAAAAAAAAAAAGGAAAAAAAATGTGGTTGTTTTCATCCAAGTATGGTGTGACTAGCTCTCAGGGCTAGAGCACCGGGAGGCTGTGGGACAAGAGCAGCCCACTGTCCTACGCCCTGTCCCACTCCCTTTAGCAGTTTCTTCAGGCATGGGCTTCGTATCTCAGGGATGCTTTATCTGTCACTTACATCCTCTGTTGATTATTACAAGTCACGTAGATGAGAATTTCGCTCTCTTCCAGGATCACCCTACTCCCTCTTACCCCATCTAAACGACATCGTTATTTTGCCAGTTTTTGCTAAATCACTATTAGTGCAACAGGTATTGTGTTCAGGAAATCTCTTCCAGGTGCCCGACCAGGCTCTGTTGTAGGCTCTAGAAGTAAGGAAGTGAAGACGATGGACCCCACCCTTGCAGCGCTCTTATTCTAGTGGAGACAGCTCTGTGTTTATCTTTTTTTTTTTTTTTTTTAAGAGTTTTTTTGCTATAGGGCTCAAGTGTTTGCCAAAGAGATAGAGAGACAGAAAATGAGAAATCACTCCCCAGGAGGATGGCAATGCTACAATTCCTTCTCCATTCTCCCATTATGACTTTGGGCACATGCCCAGTGGGATTTTTCAAGCCATTGGGTCCGGGTCTTGAACCGCAGAGTTGGCCATGTGGAATCTAGCTCCTTAACCTCTATACCACCTGCTGCACATTTTATTTTTATTTTTAAAAATTTTTAGAAGAATTATTTAAGTTTATTTATTGTCTTTTTTTTGGAGAGGTTTTTGCTATAGGGCGCATGCACTTGCCAGAAAGACAGAGAGACAGAGAGATAGAAAGCGAGAAATCATCCCCCATGGGGGATGGCCATGCTGCAATCCCTTCTCCATTTTCCTCTCGGCATCTTGGGCATGCATGCACACATGCCCAGCATGAGTTTAAGCCACCAGGTCCAGGACTTGAACCCCACCCAGTCAACCACATGGGATTCCAGCGACATAGCCATTACGCCAACTGCTGGTCCCGATTACCATTTTTTTAAATTTGACCAGAGAGACAGACAGAGAAAGTAAGAAAGCAAGCTGTCAGTTCCAGGACATGAACTGTGGTCGAAGTGCAGTACCCTTAACCACCATGCCACCTTTTGGCCCATTAATTTTTTTTAATTTGCCAGAGAGAGAGCGAGTACCCCCAATGAGTCATGGTCGTAACACACCCCTTTTCCTCCATTTCTCCATCCTTTTGGAATTTTGGTCATGTATGTGCCTAGCATGTTTTTCAAACCACCAGGGACGGCATTCAAACTGCATAGTTGGCTATATGGAATCGAACTCCCTTCACAACTAGGTCATGGGGCTAGCCTTCAGGTTGTTTTATCATGGTAAAATACACGAAACATAAAATTTACCAGCATGGGGCCAGTAGTGGCATGGTGGTTAAGGTACTTTACTTCTATATGGTGGACCGTGGTTAGAGTCCTGAACCTCATGACTTGCTTTCTCATTTTTCCTCTCTCTCTCTCTCTTTCTCTCTCTATCTGGTGAGCACATATACCCTATAGCAAATTTAAAATAATAATAACAATAAAACTAAGTAGATAATTATTTAAAAAATAAGAAAATTTACCATCTTAACTATTTTCTTCTTTTAGAGGTTTTTGCTATAGGGCGCATGCGCTCGCCAGAAAGACAGACAGAGAGACAGAAAGCAAGAAATCACCCCCCAGGGGAGATGGCCACACTGCAATCCCTTCTCCTCCATTCTCCTCTCAGGATCTTGGGCATGCATGCATACGCGCCTGGCGTGAGTTCAAGCCACCAGGTCCGAGACTCGAACCGTGGTTGACTACATGGGAGTTCAGCGACATAGCCATTATGCCAACTGCTGGTCCCACCATCTTAACTATTTTTAGGTGTACAATTTAGGAGTACCAAATGCATTCATAATGCCGCACGACCACATCACCACCATTCACCTCTATGACTTCTCTTGTCAAACTTAAGCTCTGTGTCCATTACATAGTAACTGCCTGCTCCCCTGGGATAACCTCTCCTTGGGCAACTGTCTCTATGAACATGACTCTACCTCATAAACATGGAGTTCTCCAGTATTTGTCTTTTGAAACTAGTTTGTTTCACTTAATGTAATGTCTTCAAGGTTCGCCCGTGCTGTAGCAAGTAGCAGAATTTCCTTCCTTTTTAAGCATGAGTAATATTCCATTGCATCTGAATGCCACATTTGCTTATCTGTTCACCCTTTACTAGACACTTGTGTTGCCAACAGTGCTGCTATGAACATGGCTGTACAAATACGTCTTCAAGACTATAAATTCATCTGGGTATCTACCTATAAGTGGAGTATTTGGACCATATGGTAATTCTGTTTTTAATTTTTTGAGGTACTGCCATATTGTTTTCCACAGCAGCTGCACCATTTTGCATTCCGAACAATGCATGAGGGTTCCGGTTTCTCCACATCTCTGCTGACACTTACCTTCTATTTCTGATGGTAGCCATCCTAAGGGGTGTGGGGTAGTATCTCATTGTGGTTTTGATTTGCATTTTCCTAATGATGAGTGATAATGAGCATATTTACATGTGTTTATAGGTCATTTGTATGTCTCCTATGAAGAATGACTATTCAAATCCTTTGCTCAGTTTCGAATTGGTTATTCGGTGTTTTGCTATTTAGTATTAGGAGTTCTTTAGGTATATTGGTTATTAATCCCTTCTAAAAGATGTGACATGCAGTGTTTTCTACCTTTCTGTGGGTTGCCTTTTTAGATTTTTATTATCTTTTTAAGTTTGCTATAGGGCACGTACACTTACAGGAGAGAGATGGGGCGGGGTGGGGGGAGTGAGAAACCCCACCCCATACACACCAGGGGGATAGCCACATGCAGTCCCTTCTCCTCCATTCTCCTCTTTTGGACACACATACACACATGCCTAGCATGTTGTTCAAGTCACTAGGTCTAGGACTCAAACTGCTCAGCTGGCCATGCGGGATCTAGCCACCTTAACATCCATGCCACCTGCTGGTCCTGTGTGTTGCCTTTTTACTCTGTTGATACTATATGTTGTGCAAATTTTAAAAATCTTCATGAATTCCTATTTGTTTATTTCTTCTTTTCTTGGTTGTACCTTTTGGTGTCATAGTGAAGATATCACTGCCAAATCCAACGTGGTGAAGCTTTTGCCCCCTATTTTCTTCTAAGAGTTTTATAGTTTTAGATCTCACATTTAAGTCTTTGATTCACTTTAAGTTAATTTTTGTACATGGTGTTAGGTAAGGGTCCAACTTTGTTCTTTCGAATGTGAACATACTTTTTTCCTAGAACCATTTGTTAAAATGACTCTCCTGGGACCAGCAGTTAGCGTAATGGCTATGTCGCTGGACTCCCATGTAGTCGACCACTGTTCAAGTCGCGGACCCGGTGGCTTAAAACTCACGCTGGGCACGTGTGCGTGTATGCCCAAGATCCCAGGAGGAGAATGGAGGAGAAGGGATTGCAGCGTGGCCATCCCCCCTGGGGGGTGTTTTCTTGCTTTCTGTCTCTCTGTCTCTGGCGAGCGCACATGCCCTATAGCAAAAATCTCTCCAAAAAGAAAAGAAAAAGACTCTCCTTTTCCCCTTAAATGTTTTGCACACCCTTGTCAAAAATTACTTGACCATATATTCAAGGTATCATTTCTAGGCCCTCTGCTCTATTTGACTGGCCTGCATAAAATACCACAGTACTTTAGTTACTGTAGCTTTGTAATACGTTTTGAAGTCAGAAAGTGTGAATCTTCCAGCTTTGTTCTTTTTCTTTAGAATTATTTAATTAAATTAATTAATTATTACCTTTTTTGGAGAGGTTTTTGCTGTAGGGCGCATGTTCTCGCCAGAAAGACAGAGAGAGACAGGGAGACAGAAAGCGAGAAATCACCCCCTGGGGGGATGGCCACACTACAATCCTTGTTCCCCATTCTCCTATCAGGATCTTTGGGCATGCACGCACACGTGGCCAGTGTGAGTTTAAGCCACCAGGTCTGGGATTCGAACTGCAGTCGACTACATGGGGTCCAGTGACATAGCCATTATGCTGACTGCTGGTCCCTATTATTATTTTTTTTAATTTGACTGCAGAGAAAGACATAGAGGGAAAGTGAGAAAGCAAACTGCCAGCTCCAGGACTCAATAGTGGCTGGCCACATGGGAGTCCAGTGCTCCAACCACCATGCCACCTGCTGGCCTGCTTTGTTCTTTTCAAAATTATTTTTGCCTATTCAGGGTTCCTTGAGATTCCATATGAATTTTAGGATTAAAAAATTATTTATTATGATTATTATTTTTAAATTTGCTATCAGGCATGTTTGCTCACTAGGAGAGAGAAAGAGAGAAATCCTCCAGGACCAGCAGGTGGTGTGGTGGTTAAGGTATTAGACTCCCACGTGGCCAACTGCGGTTTGAGTCTTGGACATGGTGGCTTGCTTTCTCACTTTTCCTCTCTCTTTCTCTTTCTCTCTCTGTGTCTTGGTCTCTTTCTGATCAAATTAAAATACAATAATAATAATAATAAATTTAATTAAAATAAATAATTTAAAAAAAGAAACAAGCTTCTAGGTCTGGGACTTGAACTGTAATTGATCATGTGGGAGTCTAGTGCTTTTTTTTTTTTAAGAATTATTTTATTTATTTCTTTACTTAGTTTGACCAGAGAAGGGACAGAGCGAGAGGAGTGAGAAAACAAACTGCTGGATCCAGGACTCTTAACTGTAGTCGGCCATGTGACAATCCAGCACCCTTAACCACCACGCCACCTGCCAGCCCCGGGAATCCAACACATTAACCACCATGCTACCTCCTGGTCTGTAGGATCGGTTTTCTATTTCTGTAAAAAAATATCATTGAGATATTGATAGGGATTGCATTGGGTCTGTAGATTGCTTTGGGTAATATTACCATCTTATGAAGTTTTATAATCCATGAACATGGTATATATTTTCATTTATTTACATCATCATTACATTTTCTTTTTTTAACAGTTATTTAACTTTATTTACTTATTTATTATTTTTTATTTGACCAGAGAGAGAGAAAGAGAGACGGATTGTTGAGGGGGAGTGAAAAAACAAGCCACCAGGTTTGGGACTTGAACCATGGTCGGCCATGTGGGAGTCCAGCACCTTTAACCACCATACCACCTGCCAGCCCTTCATCATTAATTTCTTTCGGTGATGTTTTTTGTTTTCACCACCATTATTGTATTTTTAGTGTGATTTTGAAAGTTTTAATAGAAGGAAATATTCATCGTAATTCTCTTTTTTGCTTATAACATTACACATACAAGACATTATAAGGTGTTGCTTTTACATACTTTTTGTAGTAAGTTTAGAAACTGAAGATAGAAGGAAGACAGTATCAGAACCACTGCTGCTTACTTTGGCATCTCCCCTACTGGTGCCTGTTCTGGATATAATTCTGTATTCTGTGTCTGTTTGTGTGTACACTTATGTAGCCTACTTTCCCCTTGACAGACACAGCAACCTCACATAGCCAGTAAGTATAGATTCCATTGATAGAGTCACCTTAGGAATTGGGGCTCATGGATGTTGTGGAGTCCTTGCTCAGTGCAACCCCAGGCTGCTCTTGGGGACCGAGGTGAGGTTCAGGAATTGACAGGAGGTATTGTGAGGCTCTGAGTCAGCTCTGAGCCACATTGTTGGAAAACCCTACTAAAGAAATGACTTTGGGCCCAGCCTCTGTGGCAGTCAGTAATACACTAGCCTGGAGAGCTGGAAGCCATATGCTCACTGTGGTTTGAGTCCCTGGCCCATTCGGTCTGAAAACACTGGGCATTTGTTTGCATGCCCAGGATCCTAGCAGGCTGGAGGGCTGGAGGAAGAGAACTGGTGTGACCAAGCCTGGAGGGTACTGCACTCCTCCCGACCTACCTCTTACACACACTGTCATTTACTTAAAAACAAAAACAAAACAGACATTATAAGTTAAAAAGAAAAAAAAAGAAAGTATTTTGGTGGATCAAACTTCCACATATGTGTGTGAGGCTTGGTATATTCAGAATTAGGAAGGGAAGGTTTCATCACTCTGAATTTCTGTCCCATCCTCCTCCCGTCCCCTTCCCCATCACAAGGTCTAGAGGGTAAACAAAGATAGCCAGGCACGGCGGGGGTGAGGGGATGTCTGCCTTCCCTAGGCTTCCCCTCAGTCCTCCCCTTCCTCTCCTAACCCCGGCTCCCTCTTGCACCTACAGGTATTTGACAACACCCCAGCAGCCTTGGACGGCACGGTGGCAGCTGGCGATGAGATCACTGGTGTCAATGGCAGGTCAATCAAAGGGAAAACCAAGGTAGAGGTGGCGAAGATGATTCAGGAGGTGAAGGTAAGGCTGTGGCTGGAGGCGGGGCTACTTCTGAGACCGCCAGGCCTCCAGGGACCCCAGCAGGCCAGGAAGGGGGCGGTCTCTCTGCTCCCCTCCATGGCACACTGGGCCTAGGGCAGCCAGTCTCCTCCGTTTATCCCTCATTTATTCAACAAGTATGGCCTCTGCCCTGGGACTTGTGCTGGGCCTTGGCCAGAGAGTGGGCAGCAAGTCTGCTGTCTCTGTGAGCTCCCATGGGAGCTAGGACACAGAGCCACACGTCTGGGGCCAGGCTAAAGCTAAGAGTCCACAGTGACCCTCCCTGGGTCAGCAGATACCCAGTAATGTCCTCTGGCCATGCTGCGCTGGGTGTCAGGGTGCAGAGAGAGAAAGGAGAGCCCCTTTGCACCTCTGTAGGAACTTGCTGTCCAGTGAGTCTTTTTGGCTTCACAGACTCCCAGAGATCCCTCTGGGCTGTGGGGGCAGCTCCTGGCCCAGCAGAGCACAGTCACACACCCCGGTTCCTCCAAGGCAAGGCCTCTCCACAGGGAGCCTTCCTCCCTGTGTGCTGCAGGGTGGCCCGGCCACTCTGGAGCACACAAGCAGCCTTTGTCTGCTGCCTAGGGACTCCGCTGTTGGGAACGCTGGGAGACCAGTACTGTGAGGGGCACCGAGGCAGGGGACCATCTGGAAGTCTGGGAGGCAAGGCCCCACTCTGGGTGGAGCTGGGCCAGTGGCTTTGCTCCCTCACCATAGCAGCCAGACCCTCCCACCTCCACCCTGTCTTCCAACCTCCTTGTCTTGAGGACTTGTCCCCACATCCCTCACAGGCCCTTCTTCCTGCTAACCCAGGCTGGCCTCTTCTGTCTCAACCGTTTCCCCTGTCCTGCTCCGAGCCGTCCACACTGCTCTCGTTCCTTTCCGGAAATGACCCCAGTCCTGCGATTCCTCCTGGCAGAGCCCCGTTAGCCAAGGGGCAGAGCAGGACCTGGGCTCAGCTCCATGGTGCAGAGGAAGGGACAAGGCACACTGAGAGCTCGTGCCGCCCCGCCTGGTCCGTGTCACTGTCCTGGGCATTTTCTGCCAGGCAGAGGAGCTGGTCACAGAAGTAGGCGAAGTGGGCAGAGTGGCCGCTCCCTCTCCCCACCATCCCTGCTTACCAGACCCCTCCCATCCTCCAGGCACGTCTCAGCCAGCCCTTCCTGTGGCCTTGGGGACACGAGCCCACTGCTTCCAGGCAGCCTGCATGTGAATGCGGGATTCCCCGGCCCTGGGTGCCGAGTGGGGAATACTGGCCTGCTTTTCAAGTGTCAGGGTTCCAAGGAAGGGGTCCAAGGTTGTCGAATTGCGGCCCAGCTGCTCCCACCCCACACACCTGAGCCAGCGGGCTCCTACCCCTGGCTGACCATCGCTGTAATTTATTTCCCTTTGGGACTGTTTGATTGTTTATTATTTGGTTGGATTCAATCTCCGGTCTAAGGGCCTTAGGAGTGCAGGGATGAGGGACATGGGTGGCCTCCCCAGGCCAGGAGGGCTTCCCGGGAGCAGCCCACGGCCCTTCTGAGCAGTCACTGGAGTGTGGTCTGCGTGCTTCTCTGACCCACACCCACCTCCGATGCTGGGCATGGGCCTGGGGACCACAGCTGCCCCTGCTCCTTCTCTTTGGAGCCTCAGCCCCAGACACAGAGCAGGTGCTCAGACGTGCTCCTGAGGGCGTGCTTCAGAGCAAGGGAGGGATACTCTGTGGGGAAGTGACAGTAAAGGTCAGGGGTGTGCAATGCGTGGGAAAGGGGCCTGTGGCCTGGCTCGGGGCAGGACATTGAGCTGCAGGCCATGTCCTACTGACTCCCCAGGGCCTGAGCAGAGAGTGGAGGGACCTGGACAGAGGGTTTACGATGCCAGACCATGTCACAGCCCTCAGCCGGCCCCTCACTCAGGGGAGAGCTCAGGGCTCTCCTGTGGCCCACAGATTGTCGGGTAGACAGGCCTCGCAGGGCAGGGGCTTGGGGTCCAGGAGGCGCCATCACTACCTGCCTATGTGCTCTTCCAGGGGGAGGTGACCATCCACTACAACAAGCTGCAGGCAGACCCCAAGCAGGGCATGTCCCTGGACATCGGTAAGTCAGCCAGAGCGTGGCACCCGGCAGCCCAGGAGCCCAGCCCCCACCTCCCTTTATCACCACAGCCTCGTTCTTCCGTGGCCATGGGCTCGAGCAGGTCCAAAAGGCCTGCAGGACCCGAGGCACTCTGTGGGGCTCCCGGGCCTGTCCCTGGTTCTCACTGCCCTGTGTCTCACCCCGCCCAGAGCCCCAGCCACTCCCTAGCTGCCCCAGGGCTCTTCGTACATCAGTCTTTGGTTTCTCGCAGCCAGGTCCTGACCCTCAGGAAGGGAATGTACCCCACCCCCAGCCTGGTGCCTTGGCCCACCCCATGGCCCACTCCTCTCTGGCCTCCTCTCCTGATGTCAGCTCCTAGGAAGCCCTGAGGGCTGAACTGGAGCTCAGGCACTGGGCAGGGAGTCGTGAGCCAGCTCTTCTACCCTCAGCTCTTCTGTCCCCTTGGGGCCATTGCCTCTGGCTAGAGGGGCCGGGCCTTGGTTCTGTAGAAACTTGTGTGTGGGCGCTGGAGCGATTTGAGGTCCTTGCGTTGCAGGTCAAAGCCCGAGCCTGTGAGGGCGCTGCAGCCCCGGTAACCACATCCAGACATCTCGCTTGAGCCAGCAATCTCTCCCTCACATCCCCTCAGTGAGGTGGCTCCATGGACAGAACCAGGGCCAAGGCCTCCTAGTTCCTAAGGAAGGAGGCTCAGGGCAGACTGAGTGTCTGAAGGTTCTCCCTCTAAAGTCCTGTAGTTCTGACCCAGGACCCCTAACTAGGACTATGCTGGTTGTATGGATAATGAGTCTGGGGTTCCTGGTCCGTGGTCATTAATGGTGCCTGCTATTTTGACATGGCCAGTCCAGGGCATTCCCCCTCTCCCCTTGCACAGGGCGCCCGGGTCCTGGTATGGAAGAGAGGAGAGAGGAGGCCCTCCTGGCAGCCCTGCAGAGGCTTGCTGTTGGCCTCCCCTCAGGCTCCCTACCTCTATGAAGTGGAGAGTCTGGGGGGTTCAGGAGCCTCCCAGTGGGGTGCTCCCCACTTCCTAGCCAGCCCAACACCAGCCCCCAGTCCACCCCCATCTGCCCCTGTTGGGCACTGCTAGTGAGTCCTGATGAGGCCAGGGGGCAGGGGCGGCCTGGGGGCAGCCGCACGCTCACCGTGCTCTCTCCCCGGGCGCAGTGCTGAAGAAGGTCAAACACCGGCTGGTGGAGAACATGAGCTCGGGGACTGCAGATGCCCTGGGCCTGAGCCGGGCCATCCTGTGCAACGGTGAGTCCCCTCCTTTAACCTGTCAACTGCTAGTGAGTCCTGATGAGGCCAGGGGGCAGGGGCGGCCTGGGGGCAGCCGCACGCTCACCGTGCTCTCTCCCCGGGCGCAGTGCTGAAGAAGGTCAAACACCGGCTGGTGGAGAACATGAGCTCGGGGACTGCAGATGCCCTGGGCCTGAGCCGGGCCATCCTGTGCAACGGTGAGTCCCCTCCTTTAACCTGCCCCCACCACACCCACCACCACTGACGGGAGTCCCTCTGGCCTGGCCCTGCCCCCTGCCCGTGAGCTGTCACCATCTGTGCATCCCCGGTTGCCTCTCCAGCTCCGAGGGCTGCCCACATGACACTGTGGATGGCCAGTGGGACCCAGGTCACAGATCAATCCCTGCCGGAGCTGGGGACCCAGAGCCAGCCTGCTCATTCCTCAGCGCAGCCTCACACTGCCCTGCACTGCCCCACCTCAGCCCCTGCCTTTGTCCAGCAGGTGGCGCTGCTGCCTTTAGCTCAGAAACTCCTGCCCAGGGCCCTGGAGGCGCTGCCCAGACGCAGCAGACGGGGTGTGTGTGTGTGCGAGTGTGTGTGTACGCACACTCATGTACTCAAACATGCGCACGCTCGCCGTCTCCCTGGGGTGGCCAATAAAACACTCGGTCCTGCTCCCACCATCGCCAGCCCGGTCTATAAATAGCAGCGGCTGTGAGTGTATGCGGGGGAGATATAAATACCCAGCAATTGTGGGCTCAGCTGGGCACACTGGGCCTCATTGGCTGGGGAGGTGGGGGTGGGGCCTGAGCTTGTTCCAAATGGTGCACGAAAGTGGTAGCTGCTATTTTCAGCCTCGCGGTGCCTATAAATCCTTGTTACTGTAGTTACCGTGCATTGCAATGAAATTAGAACGGGTTGTTGTGTTTTTCCCCCCAAACCTTGCAATTTCCCCAGCCTTAAATAGAGTTTCTAAAGTGGAAGCTGTCATGATGTCCAGGACCCAGCTAAAAACAGCATGGCGCTGACCTGGCTCCACCCCTGCAGGCTGGCTGGGTGCTAAGGCCCCGGGGAGCCCAGGCCTCCTGAAGGCCCCCACTCCCCGATAGCCAGTTTCCTTGGCCGCCCGCCCTGCCTGGGGCCAGTCTGTGCTCTCCCTTCTGCTCAGAAACCCTGACTCCGCCCAGTGCAGACTCTGGCTTGGGTGGTCCCTGGCTGTGTGACCTTGGGCAAGTGGCTTTACCTCTCTGTCCCTGAGGTTTTTGTTAAAATGGAGCAAGTGGCCCCTGTCCCCAAGGCTCAGGCTGAGGAAGGCTGAGTGGTCTGGGGGCCATGGCAGGCCTGGCCCACCGCACAATCAGGTGGTATGTGGCTGCTGCTGGGCACGGCCAGGCCTGCCTTGGGCAGGCTGGTGAGGGGCTGCCGACCTGTCTTCCTGGGAGGGAGTGGGCATGCGCCTTGTCCTCAGTGGGATGGCTCCTGGACAGTCAGTGGGAGCCCTTAGGAGGGGCGTTCCCTGCTGGAGGAAGGCCTGAGTGTCATGGCTCCTCACTCTCAGGCTCACTCCCAGCTAGTCCCTCTCTAGCTCCAGACCCCCACTTGAGTGCTTGTCCCCTCCTGGGCAGCTTCTCCCCATTTAAGCCTGGAGGTGAGGTAGCTCCCCCTCTCCCTATGCCTTACTGTCACAACTGGGGCACCCCCTGCCTTCCATATGGCCCCTCTGCCAGGCTTCGAGTCTCAGGGTGGGCTGGGATCCCAGAGTCATTCTCTGGGCCTCACAGGGAGGCTGGCGCACAGTAGGTGCTCAGTAAACACCCCAAGCCAATGAGCACGAGCACTAAGGCCTGCCTGCAGGTCAGCTCCTCCTTGGGCCCTTCCTAGCCCTCGCCCTGCCCCACCTGTGTCCTCCCGGCAGAGCCAGAGCTCCTGGGCAGCCCACGCTCCTCTGGGACTAGCCTGCCACATCGCAGCTCCTGCTTGCTGGCCGCCTTTCTGGAGCATCGGCAGGCATTGTGTCAGAAGCCCGGGAGCCCTAACTGCTAGGCAGGGGCCGTGGGGAGCCACCCTGGGTCGGACCCCGCTGTCTCACCCAGGCCTTGTGAAGTCCCTGCCCAATCCCTCACCTGCCCTTGCATTTGGCCAGCCTGCTGGGGTGGGGCTTCTCTTCGTCCCAATTCGCCTCTCATTGGGGCACTCCAAACCCAGCGAGCCCAAGGAGCCACATCCCCATCCCTGGGACCTCGTCCTGTGCGGATCCTAGTTCCTTTCCTGAGGCTGGCCCTGGGCTTCCTCTGGCTCTCCACCCTGTGCCACCTGACACGGACTGATTGCCCCCTCTGGCCCCACAGATGGGCTTATCAAGCGGCTGGAGGAGCTGGAGCGGACCGCCGAGCTCTACAAAGGTAAATGGCCCGGCCTGGGAGCCCTGCTCTGGGGTGGCAATGCCAGGCCGCAGACTTCTAGGACCGTAGCCATAAATGGGCTGGAGGTTAAGGCAGCTGGGTCCCATATGGCTGAGTGCATAGTTTGAGTCCTGGTTGCAGTGGCTTGAAAAACATGCCGGCGTATATGCATACGTGCCTGAAACCTCAAGAGGAGAATGGAGGAGAAGGAATTGTGGCGTGCCCCCCACCCCCGGGCACGCTTGCTCACTTTCTCTAACAAGTGCAATGCCCTATAGCAATTTTTAAAAATGTAACAATATTTACCTGTAAAAATTCAACTAACAGCACCTGTGAGCAGAGTGGGCCAGCCCTGGAGACAAAGCCCACGGAGGCCTTGCTCACCCGCGTCGCACACAGGCTCCTGGGCTGGGGCGGAGCCTTCATCCTGGGCCCTAGTGGGACTGTGGGAAAAGTCTGGAGCCAGGACCAGCGAGCGCCTCAGGCACGGGCAGGGGGTTGGAGGCTGTGACTTGGGTCACTTGGGTCCACGTGTGCCTGCTCTTGTCCCACTGCCATTTCCGCTCTCACAGGGATGACGGAGCACACCAAGAACCTCCTGCGGGCCTTCTATGAGCTGTCGCAGACCCACCGGGGTAACGGCATCCCCCAAACCTGTGTGGTCCCAGGCAAATCCCTGCCTTCTCTGGCCGGGTACCCCTGTGCAGTGAGTGACCAAGTGCCTCCCTGGGGCCCTTCTCTCAGTGCCTGGCCTCGCACATGGTCCCAGACGTTGAGTGTGGCAGTGGTGGGACAGTGGGGTGTCTAGACCAGGCAGCCCTCCGGGTGCACCACAGTGGGACGCCCGGCTCCCATCCTTGGACTGCCACTCAGGCACAAGGCCCTTTATCAGGGTCTCATTTCCTGCAAGAAAACGTGGGCTCCCAGGCCATGCTCTGCTCTCAGACAGAGCCACCTTGGTCCTCCGCCCAGCCTTCTCCCAGGTCTGGTCACTCTGGGAAAGAGGACGACACCCTTGGGGTGTGGACACAGTGCCCTTGGGTATAGACCTGGTGCAGACCTGGGCCTCTGGCCTACCAGGTCCCCCTGCCCTGTTTTCTCCTCAAACCCCCGGCTTCTCCATTAGGGGGTTGGTAGGGGCACCCTCAAGGCAAACTTGTCATGCAGCCTTTGGGGACGTGTTCTCTGTGATTGGGGTGCGGGAGCCCCAGCCAGCCGCGAGCGAGGCGTTCGTGAAGTTTGCCGATGCCCACCGCAGCATAGAGAAGTTTGGCATTCGGCTGCTGAAAACCATCAAGCCGGTAGGTGTGTCCCATGGGTGAGGGTGAGGAGGGCACAGTGCGGGCAGGCCCTGACGCATGAAGTCCCTGCGCCCCTTTGGGCTTCAGCTTTGACCTCTAGGCCAGTCTCTGGCCCTGGCTCTGTGACTCGCTCGCCCTTGCCCTGGCCTTGACACGGGCCACCGGGGCATGCCCTTTGGCTCTGACAGTCTGAGCCTGCTGTCCGTGCCATTCCTTGTCACGCTGGCCACTCCTGCCTGTGAGGCCCTGAGCACCTTCTCCCATCCAGATGCTTACGGACCTGAATACTTACCTCAACAAAGCCATCCCCGACACCCGGCTCACCATCAAGAAGTACCTGGACGTGAAGTTTGAGTACCTGGTGAGTCATCTCCGGGGATGAGGCCCTGGGCTCAGAGGGGCTGGGAGGCTGAGAGCTCTCACTGCACCCCTATCACAGGGTTTTGTGGTCTCCTGGACTTGAGGGTTAAAGTGGGCACCAAGGGCTTTATGTTAAATCATAATTCCATGGTCCACGGAGTTGAGGAAACTGCCCAAGCCAAGCTTCCTTTGCTGCAGGACTCCTCTGAGCCTTTGATAGGTGCGTGTGCAACCTGAGTCTTTGTGGCCTTTGCAAGCTCCTTAGACCATAGAATCCTTTTTTCTCAGAGCATCTCTTGGGGCTTGATTTTGGTAAACCTGGGGCTCCCAAGCCCTTGGGCCCTGCCCACCCTCCCTGCGTGACTGCCTGCCCACCCCTCTCTGGGCTGAGGCATCTGAGCTTTTCTCAGCTGGGGCTGAGACCCCAGAGGCCTGGCGTGGCTGGGCCTCTGTGCATGGATTCACCTGCCTGGGCTGGCTGGCAGGGTCGGGGAGCACTGGGGGCACGCGGTCATCGTTGGAGGCCGCAGCCACTCTGACAGCCTGGCCCCTCCGTCCCCCCAGTCGTACTGTCTGAAGGTGAAGGAGATGGACGACGAGGAGTACAGCTGCATCGTGAGTGCTCGGGCCCGGGGCGACCTCACGGCCTCCAGAGTGTCCTGCGTCTGCCAGGACTGTCGGAGGAGGGTACAGGCCAACCTAGGAGAGTCCTGGGGGGCTGGGCTGGGCTCCTGTTCCTGGGGATTGGGACCGTGTCCCCACCCCAGCCCCTCTGAGCCTCGGTGGGCTGGCGGCCGGCCCGAGGCCACCTGCTGCCAGGCTGGCTGCCCTCAGCTTGTGAAGCTTGTGGGGAAATGGACTTTTTTCACTCGTAAGGGGCACTTTTATTGTTTTAATTTTTCATATTTTTGCTGTCAGGAACCATTTTATGGCCCCGTTCATTTACTTGATGTGAGAAAGGTTTGGGTCTCCTCGTTGGTCCCTCCCTCCAACGCTGTTGCCAGGTGCTTCTGGCGCTGGTTGGCGCTGCACGGAGAGGAGCGTGGTGGCTTTGGAAGTGGGAGTGTGAGCTGGGGTCAACCCTGCAGAGCCCGGGCCTTCTCGCCCCCTCCATCCTTGAACAAGCCCCCCACCCCATCAGGGCCCTAATGTGCTCTCCCTCCAGGCCCTAGGGGAGCCCCTGTATCGGGTGAGCACAGGCAACTACGAGTACCGCCTGATCCTGCGCTGCCGCCAGGAGGCCCGCGCCCGCTTCTCCCAGATGCGCAAGGACGTGCTGGAGAAGATGGAGCTGCTGGACCAGAAGCATGGTGAGGGACGGGGTGGCCCAGCACCATTGCCCTGGCCCGCTTCCCTGTCCCAGCCGGGAGCCGGGCAGCAGCTGCTCCCCATTTCAGAGGCTCCGGGGCCAGGTGTACCAGATCTTGAAGTCAGACCCAAGATGTGAAGCCCTGGTGGGAGCCCACCCAGCTCTGGAGCCTGGCCACCATAAACCTGGCACCCGAGCCGGGAACCAGAGGCCTGGGCTTTCGGGGCTGCCGGCAGGACATGGCCGGCGGCCCTTGCCTCCCTCCTTCCCAGGGCATGAGGGTGCTGGAGTCTCCTGAGTGGGAAGCCTAGGGAGGGGCAGCTGGGAGTCTTGCAGGAGGCAGCAGCCCCGCCACTGTGCCTGTCGCCTGCCCCAGTCCAGGACATCGTGTTCCAGCTGCAGCGCTTCGTGTCCACCCTGTCCAAGTACTACACCGACTGCTACGCCGTGCTGCGCGGTGCCGACGTCTTCCCCATCGAGGTGGACCTGGCGCACACCACGCTGGCCTACGGCCTCGCCCAGGACGGCTTCACCGATGGGGAGGACGACGATGAGGATGAGGAGGAGGACACGGCGGCCACTGAGCCGTCTCGGGACATAGGAGGGGCTGGCGGGCCCCTGGACAAGGGTGGCAGCTGGTGTGACTCCTGAGGGCCGCGCCGGGTGCGGAGCTGGGGGGTAGGGTGAGTGGGAGGAGCAGCGTGGGAGCTGGGGGGCCGCGGCAGAGGCGCTTAAAGGGCTGCGGCTTTGGGGGCCCGCCT